GTGCATCTAAAATTATCCAACACACTCGCCTTTAATCAGCATACTCAAATTTGGATGATCGATATTGTGACTTAGCCAATTTAATAAAAAAATTTTTTTTAACTATTTATATATGTTAAAGTACTTTTTATTCTCATGATTTTTCAACAATTTATCAATTAAATACATTTTAAAAAAAAGTAACAGAAAGAGTTTTCAAATACTTATATTTTATTAAAATTAATCCAAAATAATCCTAGTATTTAAAAAGTTTTATTAAAAAAGAGATCTAAGGTAGTTAAACCTGTAATTTGAGTATACGAAGATATTTTGGTGTTAAAATAAGAAAGAACAGCATGTAACTAAGTCTGGTACTTTGTGGAAGAAGCACAAAATGATCTCAAATAACGTTTATGCAAAAAACTAAGCAAAAGGTTAAGTTTACTACATTTTATATTCTTTAAAATATAAAAAATTATATTATTATAATAATATCAATTTTATTCAATTATATTTTACTAAATTTTAACTAGTATTATTCTAAGGTACAATACAAAAACGGTTTAAAAGAATATGCTTATTAGTTGAATTAAGTAGAGATAATAAATTTGTAAAGAATACAAAATTTTTAATAAAATAAATATAAGCACAATGGGGGATTAGATTATTGATGATATTTCATTAACCCATAGTTGAAAATTGACAATTTTTATAACATTCGATTCGTTTCAATAAGACGAGTCGAATGATATAAAAATTATTAAATTCTAGTCATTAGATCACGAGATATCTTCGATCTTGTAAAATAAAAATTTTAAAGATCGTTATCGATTATAATAAATGTGATTGGCTATTAATTTCATGTGATTGACGATCCTAGATTTTTTATTGGACGAATTGGCTCTGAGTCACAATTTTCAAATCTAGAAGGTTTGTGTAATGAAGATTGTCCACTATGCTCCTTTAATCACACAGGTCAAGAACGATACATTTGCCCCTTAAACGGTTAGATCATCAGTTTACATCTAATTGTTTCTCCTATTTTTCTTACCGTTAATATCATTTTTGGGCTCTTTAGTACTTTGGCATAATACAATTTTTCCCTTCCGCGAAGCTGAGAAACACTCTTCGTGTTTTGGCAGGCGGGTAAAACTGATTAATGCCTCTGGCATTTAGTCGGTGTTGAGAAGCCGAGAAACATTTCTATGTTTCGGTAGGTAGATCGGGGCGGTTGCCAGGGAAACCGAAAAAATATGCGTAACGCATGTTTCGTAGGTGGGTAAGTCGAAAAAACATGTGCAAAACATGTTTCGTAGATTGATTACTGGTGGAAACCGAAAAAATATGTTCTGCATATTTCGTAGGTGGAAAAAGACGAAATCGAAGCCGAAAAAAACGCTGTTTTCGTAGGTGGAGATAGTAGTATGGGAACTTGTATTAACCAAATGTACTATTTTTTGACCTGACAAATACAC